ATTGCTCAAGGTATAAACAAAACAATAATCATTCAGAGTACAATGAAACATTTTTATGCAGCATAACTGATCTGAACAGCAAGCATTTTTAAAGAACCGCTATCGTAATTCTTACCCAGTTAACTAATTGGGCTGAAATTTTATCCAGAGTTTGGTGCGGTCATATGCTGCATTTGCACCAATTTTTATTTAATTATATGTAGTGGTTCTCATTTTTAAGGTGTTTTTATTGTTGCACGTCAAAATAAGTCAAAATTTCCGCATTACAACATTAATTTTAACATTTAAATTAAATTATATTCCGCGGACAAATTAAAAGATTTCAAAATTTGCATCACCCCATATATGCGGCGTTCTTGGGTCAGCTAGGTGGGTATTATCAGGATCCAGACTTATTGTGTATATATTGTTATATTGTATTACAATTATGATTGTAAATTTACTTTTTTTAAGTTTATAGACTAAAAAAAGTGTTTGGTATTTTAATAGGACTTTTTGAAATAAGAATCCAATGTTTAAAACGTTTTTTATACTGCGTATATAAAACGTTTTTATATGTGTTTCTTAAGAAACATATTGAATAAGTGAAATACTTACAAATATATATATATATATATATATATATATATATATATATATATATATATATATATATATATATATATATATATATATAGTATATATATATATATATATATATATATATATATATATATATAATAACAATAATAGTAGTAATAACAATAGTATTAACAATAAATTTAAAAAAAAATTAATTGCTCAAAACAATGACTAAGAGTTGATTTAGTTCATTTTTTTCAAAATCCAAAAAAAAATTGAATAAAATAAAATTTATAAATTTTTTAAATCTCGTTGTCTTTCTCGGAATGATTTTTCCGCGAAATTTTCATGAACTTACATAGACATGTCATCCCATTTAACAAAATTGTACTTTAATAGAATGTCTTTCTATTTTATGCCATTAACTACTTCTGTTATAAAATTTGGTTATTTTTATTTGCAATGTCGTACGATTGATACGTCATATGATTCGACACGCCGTACGATCGCGAACTCTGAGAAACCATTGGAAGTTAAAATGTGGAACACACTGTAAGACCCAAAAAAAACACACACACAAAATTATTTTCCAGTTTTTGAGGGTTTTTAATCAAAGTTGAAGTTATATTTTTTGAAAAAATGGGTATATATCGAAATTGTATTTAAAAAAAATGTATTGAATATATTGAAAAAAAATATTATATATATTGAAAAAAAATATTGGAATTTTTTTTTTTTCTTGTTCTTTATTACATTAAAATTTTAATATAAATATATAGAAAGTAAAGAAACAAAAGTTATAATTGAAGATTATGTTAAAATAAATATAGAAATTAAATAAAAATAAAGAACACGGAAACTCAAAACAAGTCTTTGAAAAGTGAAATAAAAAAAGGATAATAATTGAAAAAGTATTGCAAAAATTTAGTATAAAACCTACAATTTATAAAATAAAAAAAATAAAAAAATAAATAAATATTTAAAATGTTAACAGGCGGATGAAATGTTGTACGCATATCTTTTAAAAAATTCTATATTTCCAAGTGATTTTTGACCGTAATTGAGTTTTAATGGATGAATAAAGTGCAGATCAGAACTGTAATGTTTCAAAACAATTTCGCTTTTAGACACAGGATCTGTACCCACCCTTCCTGGCATGTAAACACCTTTTAAATAAATCATGTTTGTAGTAAGCATTCTTATTATTGTGGGTACTGCAATTTCTAAAAACACGTTTTGTTCTTTAAAAACTTTGGAAAGTTCAATAAAACCTTGTGCCATTTTCTTAGGAATGTAATAAATATCAGACCGTCCACCATAACATACATTTTCACCGGAAACCATTTTACGTAAATCAGAATTTTCAAAATCAAGTATTTTGTTCATGTTTTTATAAAGGCTTTGATTATAGTCATGTTTAAAAAGAGAATTTATTTTCTTTATTGCTTTATAACAATTACTTGCACCCCATCGGCTGTTCCACCAGTACCAACGAATAGCTTTTGTAAAATTACCAACTTTAATTGGCGATTTTGGTCCATCCCAAATTTTATTTGGGTTTAAACGCTCTAAGTTCCAATAATTTACTAATACGTCATCGCTAATTACTAAATACCCGGTATAGTTATGATGATTCTGCATTGAGCGTGCAGCGCACTCTTCGTAAGTGAAATATCCTTTAAAAGTTACACTTTTTAATACCCAAGAAGGCGATGTCGAATTTATCGGTCCGCAAAACATTATATTTGGAAAACCTTTGCTGTATATATCTTGAAGCAACAATAAATGATTATAAAGTGGAAAATTAAAAATTATTACAAGAAGGATGCTTTTAAAACGTTCTCTAAAACACACTGCATTAAATGAGTTTGCTCTGCTTGCTAGTTTAAAATCTAAGGATGATTTGAATATATCCGTGCGAATTAACCAAAACCATGCAAAACCAAAACTTTGAATGTATAGAAAACAAAAAAACAACAAAAATGTAAAATAAAGAATTAGTTTTTTATGTAACTTTATCATAATAAAAATAAGTTAAATTTTAAAAAGTATTACTTTACGGTTCATTAGAATCATGTTCAAATATGCGTTAAGAATAAAGAAGTAGTTGAAACAATAGTTATCATAGAAAGTAATTATTTATAAAATAATTAATATCTAATTAGAAATTAACAGAGATATTAATTATTCATACAATAATTAATATCTAATTAAAAATTAGCAGAGATATTACGTCAAAAATCAAATTGTCAAAAATCTTCTTGTTTTAGTTTTAATTTTCAAACTGTTTTTTTCATACGAATTATATTTTTGTTATGAATGTATATGCATTTTTTTGTATTTTTTATTATATATTATGCGTATCTAAAATGTGTTCTTTTTATTACACTTTATGTAATTGGTTTGCATAAAGTTACTACACCATTTTGCGTTTAAGTTAGCCAATTTTTACTTTAGTTTGGCAATTTTCACTTAACAAATTATAGTGAAAATTGCCAAATTAAAATGAAGAAATGCCAAATTAAAGTGAAAATTGGCCAACGTAACCTACTACTACTATTTTCACTTTAAATTGGCAATTTTCATTTTAATTTGTAAAGTGAAAATTGCCAAATTTAAGTAAAAATTAGCAATTTGCAGGTAGTCGGTAAAATGCGAACTGCTAACTAGTAAAATGCGAATTTTTTGGCAAACCACGACATTTTTTTTTAATGACCACTACAGTTATGGTATTTAAAAAAAAGTTTGCTCATCAAATTTTTTCATTTAAATTAAACTTAATGGAATTTGATTTATTTTATTTAAACTAGGTTGTATTTCTTTTAAATTTACGATAATTTATGGTCCTGCTTGAAGTCTATGGATGATCTATGGAGTGAAATCAATTTTTAAATATAATATAAGTAATAAATAAATATAGACGTACATTGAAACACATGGACGTACATACATAGAATAAAATACAAGTTCTAATTTATAACTTAATCAAAATGTCTGAAACAAATGACTTTAAATCGTTTACTTTTAATTTTTCAGAAATGAGACACTTCTCATCTGATGAAGACTTTGATCCAGATATTAATTATTTCAATGAAATTATTATGGATTGTTCATATTACTATCCTAACAAATTAGAAGAATTTTTTCATAAAAATACAAAAAACAATAATTTTGATCAACTAAGAATTCTTCATGTAAATATCAGAAGCCTAAACCACAATTTCGAAAATCTACTCAATTTGTTACAAGTAGTCAACAATTTTTTAAATATAATTTTATATATAAGATTTAAATACTACTTCAAATTTTAATCTTACTTACTTTGACTCAATTTCTCAAGAGAGACTTATCAATAAATGCAGTGGAGGAGTTCTTATTTATGTAAAGAAAATTATTGCACATTATGTTTGGAATGCTTTAAGTGTTTCTGAAATTGAAATTCTTAACAATCAATCTAAAAACATTTTACTGAGCTGTTGCTATAGGCCTCCGAACGGTATGGCTGAGAACATGAACATGTATTTTGAGGAAAACCTTTTCAAAAAAGGCATCCTTGAAAAAAAAAGAACTTTATTGTAGGTGATTTCAATATGAATTGCTTCCACTATTCTACGGACATTAAAGTTAAAAACTTTTATGATTCTATTTTTGAAACGGGAGCCATTCCTTTGATAAATCGCCCGACCAGAGTAACTCCAAAATCAGCTACCCTAATTGATAACATTCTAACAACTGATATTTTTAACAGTACTTAAATAAATCTTAAAAACAGACATATCTGATCATTTCCCTATCTTTTTTACCATTAACTCCAACTCAATAATAATGACTAAAACAAACATAAAAGTTAAATCACATAACTATAACCAAAAAAATGTTGAGCAATTTAAAACACAATTATCATTGCTCCATTGGTTAGAACATCGACTTTAGTGATAATGCAAACAACTTTAACGCTAATTTCTTTAATACATTTTACTCTCTTTATGATGCTAATTTTCCTTTATATGAAAAAATAATAAATCAAAAAAATATTAATTCTCCCTAGGTTACCAAAGGTTTAAAAAAATCATCAAAAATTAAGCAGAAATTATACATAAAATATCTAAAAAACAAATCATTCGCCAGTGAGAAAATATACAAAGGTTACAAAAATCTTTTTGAAAAAACTCGAAAAAACTTAAAAAAAAACATTACTATTCTAAAATTTTCAATAAAACAAAGAATAATTGTAAACGCTCCTGGGAAATAATAAAAGAAAATACCGGTAAATCAAAATCATGCTCAGGTTCCCTGCCACACATGATCAAAGTGGATAATAACAATATAATAATTATCAAACAATAGCTCACGAATTCAATAAACTCTTTGTTGAAACTGGCCCTAAACTATTTAAATTAATTCCTAATACAGAAGCCTCAATTAAAGATTTCTTAGTACCGATGGATAAATGCATTCACTCGGATGAGTTATCTAATGAGTTATTATTTGATGAGTTCGAAAAAGCTTTATAGTTTATTCTTATATATATATTTGCCGTACATATAACATTTACAAGTTTCGTAAATTAAAGGTGTAATATCTACAAATCTTGTGAGTCAAAATATATAATGAAATTTATAATTAAATAGTACGGGCCGGACTTCAAGAAGATCGTAATGATCTTATCACGAAGCCCTTACAATGTGATTGATATATATTATGATTATGTTAAATATAATTATATATTAAGTAGAACTATACTTATATAGTCTTTAAATTAAACTCACAGTAAAAGATAAACTCAAAATAAGCTCAGGATAAAAAATTAAACATAACAAGCAGCATAATAACTAAAATTGATAAGAAAAAAAATCAAGTGTTTATTTTTGTGTGTAATAAAGTTTTTTTTTTTTAATACAGTTTTTTGATATATTGTTTGAGAAAGGTAAAAGTCATTTAGATAATACACATAAACGAGTCAGTTCACTTTGTAGTTGATATATATGTAATTTAATTTTCTATAAAACACTAAAAAAAAAATAAAGCAGTTGGACCGGATGAATTCAATGGTAACCTAATTTTAGATTGCTTTGTACAAACACAATATATTCTTTTTAAAGTCTTTAAATTATCAATAGAACAAGGAGCCTTTCCTGATCAATTGAAAATTGCTTAAGTCATTCCACTTTTCAAAGATGATGACAAATATGATATAAGTAATTACCGGCCTATTTCTATTTTATCTATATTTTCAAAAATACAAGAAAGAATCATGTTCAATAGAGTATTTAATTATTTTAGTTTAAATAATTTATTATGCAAAAATTAGTTTGGCTTTAAAAAGAATAACTCAACTGAGCATGCAATTATTTAGTTGGTACGTGAAATCTCCAATTCTTTTAAAAAATCTCAATTCACATTAGGAATTTTTATAGATCTTTCAAAAGCATTTGATACTATCGATCATGATATTTTGCTTTATAAACTTAGTTATTACGGAATTAATCATAGAGTAATTAAATGGTTTCAAAGTAATTTACCTAACAGAAAACAATTTGTTTTTTGTAATGAACTTAATCATAAACAGTTTTTAAATGTTTCCTGTGGTGTTCCGCAAGGTTGTTTCTTAGGCCCTCTTTTGTTTCTAATATATATCAACGACTTTCATAAAGCATCAAATCTTCTAAGTATTATGATTGCTGATGACACAAACTTATTTCTCTTTAACAATGACATCTATCTACTTTTCTCCATGATGAACAAAGAACTTCAAAACATTTCTAAATGGTTTAAAAGTAACAAATTAACATTAAAAACAACCAAAACAAAATGGATTTTTTTCCACCCGCTCTCCAAAAAACGTTTTTTACCTCCAGATCTACCAAAAAATTTTATCGACCTTATTGAAATTAAAAAAGATTTTGTAACTAAATACCTGGGGGTTTTCATTGACGAGAAAATCACATAGAAACAGCACATTAACTATGTTTGCTCGAAAGTTTCAAAAAGTATCGGAATTTTATATAAGATGCGTACTCATTTAGATAAAAATAATTTAACTAAACCTTATTACTCTTTTATCTACAATTATATAAGCTATGGAGTTTGTTTATATGTGGAAGCATGATATATCTCCTTTAATATTTAAAGATCCTTTTTATTTTGAAACTATTAAGCAAGTAAACATGAGGAATAATAATTATTTAAATGAACCATTCTGTCAAACAAAATTCAATCAATTTTGTATCACTTATCGTGCAGCCATCTCTGGAACAAAATTATTTTGTCTAACTTCGACTTACCCCTAACTTATCCTGTTTTTAAAAATAAATTAAAAGACCTCATTCTTTCTATTGAAAATATCTTAGAATATTTATAATTTATCTTGTGATAAAAATAATAATAATAATAATTTTTATTGTCATGTATTTTCAAGTTTTTTTTAATACTTGTTTACAAATTATTTTCATTTGAGTAAATACGATGAATTGTTTTTATATGATTTTTTATCTACTCTTATTGTAAAAAGTTGTTTTATTAATATTTTACGTACTCACTTTTGTAAAAGGCTTCTAACGATAAGATCATTGTGATATTCTTTTAGAAACCTTGTTTGTATTTGAAAAATATGTAATCTATATATATTACGTCAAATTTAAACAAAACAAAACAATTATATCATAAACATAGAACATACATTAAAAATAAACATATAGAAATCATGATAAGATAAACGATAGAATTTTTACCATACTTCTTGGTTTTAAAAGATGGTACATTTAGTTTTCCATAGTGTATATTTCTTGTTGAGTAGGAATGTACTAGTCTACTTTCTGTTACAATAGTTAATATATAATACAATAGTTTCCAACTTGACCCCAAACTTGACAACAATAGCTAAGTTGAGATGAGAATAATTCAAAGTTAATATTTTCAAGTGTATTAACTTTATCGACATATGACAAATTATTGAAAGCATGCCGTTAGCTCGAAATAGTTTCTTGCTTAGTTTATTAATGTGAAGGTTTCATGAAAGTTGGCAGTCAATTAACACACCAAAATATTTAATAACTCTCGAACGATATTCCGTTTTCTATTAATTTTGATTTTGATTTCAAAATTTTAAAAACATAGTATTTTTTTTTTGGAGATGAAAAAAAATTTAGTTTAGTTTTACTCGTGTTAATAGACATATCAGGTTAGCATTTAACCAGTGAACTATACCTTTTAGATTAGAATTTTTACATAAAGAATAATACGATTTGTTCATGTACAAGAGATTTCTATCATCAGCAAACAGATGAACTGACGAGAAGTGAACTCAGGTTGTTAACTTAGATTAAAAAAAACGAGGACCAAGAACATAATTTTAAGGAACACAACACAAAACTGATTTATTGTTAGAATTAAATAATTACAATTAACACTTACAAATTGTTTTCTGAAAGAAAGATAAGATCGAAACCGTCATTACTGTCATATATAACCGTCTATACTGCGAATTCCATAATGTTCTAATTTAGAAATCAAAATACAACGGTAAACGGTATTGAAAGCTTTTTGTAACTCGATAAAAACATTACAAACGAAATGACCAATATCAAGAGCTTTTCTGATTTTTTTCTGTTATACTTATTAATGCATGTCAAGTAGAATGTTTTGATCAAAAACCAAAATTGAAAATCATTTAAACAATTAAATGAGTTTTAAACAAAAGTTTCTAAAGAAGCTTGCTAATGTTAGACAAATAAGAAATAATTCTATAGTTAGTACATAAAAGTTTAGAACCATTTTTAAATATTGAATTAGCGCAAGATAGTTTCAAAATATCAGAAAATGTTCGATTTATAAATGAGGTATTAAATAGGTATTTAATCATTCGTAATACTTTATTCATTTTCTTTCAAACAGTTTGGGAAAATTTATTACATTTTTGACATTTATTTGAATTTTAATGGCTTTCCAAAGTTTGAGAAAATTTTTTACATTTTTTGAGGAAAAGTCTTTTTTACTATATTTAGTTAATGTAACATATATTTATATTTCTTAAAAATAGTTCCAAACTTGTTTATATTAATAAGATCTTTAGATCTTAACATTTTTTGTTGGAAAAGATTGCGCACTTCAATAGATTTCATAATTCCCTTTGTAATCCATGGTTTGAATTGACGTTTGAATTTTATTAATAAAAATAAAAAATAATAATAATAAAGAGTAACTGCTTTTACTCAAAGTTTTTGTAGTAATTGCTCAACTTTCCTTGCTCAACTTTCCTTGAATAAAAATTTAGAGCGAGTGCTCTATTTTTTGAAGTAATTGCTCAACTTCCTTGCTCAACTTTCCTTGAATAAAAATTTAGAGCGAGTGCTCTATTTTTTGAAGTAATTGCTCAACTTCCTTGCTCAACTTTCCTTGAATAAAAATTTAGAGCGAGTGCTCTATTTTTTGCTCGAAAGCTTTTACTCATGAGGAGTTATTCAAAATTTTAGACATTTTAGTAAATTGTTGTACAATAAAATCGTTAACATTTACATAACAAAATCATAGAATAAGAACTAAGTAAAAGATAATATAGTTATACAGGTATTTAATTTTATAAAAAGAACGCGAAGACTCGCAGAAGACCGTCAGGTCTTGTCATCAAGAATCGCTCGTATTTTACAATCTCAATAAATCATATTCAAATATAGTTGTATATCTCTATAAAAACTTTACAGCATAAATACATTTAATATTACATGAAATTATATAAAATATATTATCCAGAGCCAAAATCATTTCTTTAAGTTTATTTTTAAATGAGAGGTAACTACATTCCAGTCAAAATGTTTTAAAACTATTTTATTCCAAAGAAAAGCTCCGCGAAATGCAATGTTTGTTTTTCCAAAATTAGTTTGACAAAAAGGTTGCCGAACTAAATTGTCATTTCTCGTAATGTATTTATTTTTATCTTTCAAGGTATATAAATTATGGAAAGAAACTGGCGAGGAATTTATTTTACATTTGTACATAAAACAAAGAGTATTAAAAACATTGAGCTGAAATATATTAAAAATTTTCATTTCAGATAAAAGAGGTCTGGCATGAGTAAATCTGTCTTTAGTTAATCTCTAGTTAATAAGACGAGCAACATGCTTCTGCTGACGAAGAGGTTTTAGTTTACTTTTATTGGCATTACACCAAGCAATATTTGCATAGTTTAAATGATAATGGATAAAAGAAAAATATAATTGTGTTAAAATTTGTTTATTTAAGGCATTTCTAGCCTTATATATTACTCCTATACTTTTAGCAATATTGTTGTACAAAAAATTAGTGTGGTAATTCCAGCTAAGGTTTTCATCAACATGGACACCTAAAATGTTTGTATTTATTTCTCTAATTTTAATTGAATTTTGTCTATAAAAAGTAAGCGCAAGTTAAGAGGCAGTAGTTTCTTTTTAGAAGTCGGATGAAAGAGTGACCATTTTGTTTTCTCCACATTTAGTGACAAATTATTCATTTTGAACCATTCACAAATTTTCTCTAACTCGATGTTCATAGTTTAAAATCATGTTAGAATACATTTATACGATAAAAAAAAGATTAGTGTCATCAGCAAAGATGACACTCATTAAATTTGACGGTTTAGGGAGAATATTGATGTAGGTTAAGAAAAGAAGAGGTCCAAGTATAGAGCCCTGGGGAACTCCACAGGTTATATTTAATAAATCAGATGTGCTACTTTCATTACTATAAACAAACTTTTTACGGTTGTTTAAATAACTTATAAGTATCATAAAAACATTCCCTCTAATTCCATAGTATTCTATTTTTTTGAGGAGAATTCGATGATCAATAGTGTCAAACGCTTTTTATAAATCTATGAAAATTCCCAAAGATATTGGGACTTCTCAAACGATTCAGCTACACTGCGAGTAATTTGGAGTATTGTGTGTTCTGTCGAGTTATTTTTTTAAACCCGAATTGATTGATATATAGTATATTATTTAAGGAAAGATGATTATAAATAACGTTATATAAAATTCTTTCTAAAACTTTAGAAAAAACAGAAAGAACAGAAATTGGGCGATAATTTATAACTTTGGTTGGATTGCCTATTTTAAAAACTGGAGCGACTTTAGCTATTTTTAAATAATCTGGAAATATTCCCTGTTTTATTGAACAATGAAAAACTTTAAATAGTACATTTTTTAAGGGTTCACACGAGTCGATGACAACATTACTGTTAATTCCATCGTGACCAACGGATTTATTTATTTTGAGCATTTTAAAAGATTTTTCGAATTTTTTAAATGAAAGTTCACAAGATGTTAAGGTTGACGATATCGGATAATCATAAGCATCTATTTTGTTAATCACAAAAGGAATATTTTTGGCTAAATTTGGACCAACTGATACAAAATATTTGTTTAATTCATCACATATCACAGTTGGATTATAGGAAAAATCATCGTTAATTTTTAATGTTTTGGGTGGAGAGCACATTTTTATAATCCGTGTACCCATAAGTTCTCTTAGGATCTCCCAGGTGCGTTTTGAGTTATTCTTGTTTATCTCAAGTAAATTATAGTACAATTTTTTTAAAATTTTTCTTTTTTTTTCTCCAAATATTTTGGCATAGTTTTTTTAAAAAAATTTTAGTTTCCTGTTCTGGTTTTTAAATATTTAATATATAATTTTTGCTTAATTTGAGAGAACATATATTTAAGTTTCTAGCCCCCCCCTACAAAATTTACCAGTCGACATATTAGACACACCTTATGTAGCTTCTGAAAAATAGGAAAGATCATGCTTTAGGTTAGTTTTTGTAAATAATGGTAATGCAACAAATATTGACAGTTTGTTGTACATAATATACTGTTTAGATAACATTATGTTGAACTAATGTAGAATTACATAACAAAGATGAATAAAACTGTATAAATCAACATGCAAATAAAAACACTCGAGACAGAATTTAACATTTTTTAAAATAAGATATAAAACATTTTTTCTGTATTACAGAAATATTTTAAAATATCAAAACATGTTTCTCTAAAACTTCTTTAAAACTTGAAACCAGATTCAAAAGTACAAAATAAGCTGTCTAGTTACAAAAAAATAAGAAGTATACTTTATACTGTTTCGTGCATTTAGAAGCACAATTTTGAAACCCTTCGCAATGCAGGAAGTAATAAAGAAAATCTTAATTACTTCCTGCCTTGTATCTTAATTTTATTTGATATTCGATACGATGCAAAACATTGTTTAACAATTACTGATTAAATCTAATTCTTTGATGAAGCTGCTTGTACCGCTTTCTTTGCTTTTACCATTTCGACAAGTTCCTAAAATAAAAAACGTTTAAAACCGCTGCATTTTAAATAATTATTCAAAAACAACAAAAGGATATAAATTTTTACTTTGTATCTTTTCATGCAATCTTTTTTAGTGCGTGAAGGTATCACACTTGCGATTTTTTCCCATCGTTCAGGTGTATTGGCGCCGTACGTTTTCAAAGCTTGCTCTAGCAACTTTAAAAATAAAAATATTTCAGAACGTACATTTTATTATTGAACATTTAAATGTTTCATTAACCATTATGTGACAGTTATTTTATTTAACCATTATGTGACAGTAATTTTAAAAAAAAGTAACACTTGAAAAGAGATTAAAGATAGGAATGTTAAAAGTATCTTTATTTTTTTGCATTTACTACTTTATAAATTTATTTTTATCTATTTATATATCTTATTTATCTATGAATTCTTCCATTTTTTCTTTTATTGTTTATTTAGACATTCTGTATCCTATACTGTTACGTACTGGTTAAAGAATAGAAACGCAGAGAACATTGGAGGCGAGAGGTATGTTAATCATTGGAGGCGAGAGGTATGTTAATAAGCTCTAGCAAATTGCTATGATGAAGCTGAAAAAGAAGAGTAGGATAAAGGAGGTCATGATTTTTAACCACTCATTTTCTACTTAGGATGATGGCAGCTACTCAATTTATAATCTACCAAAATTTCTGTTATATAAAGGATATAATTTATACACTGTAAAACTTTTTTTTTTAAACTATGTATTTTAAATGATTACAATAGATTTAGAAAAAAATAATTACAAATTACGATAGAAAAAAAATTAATAAATACACAATCTAAACATTTAGAAAAATGCATTTTATTAACAGCAATTGATGTTATCTGATATTAATTTTTATGTTTTTATTAACTTTATTGTTGAAAATTGTATTTTTAAAAAAATTATAGTTTTTTTCAATTTTTATGTTGCTAACAATTTTTTTTAAAGTAGGCGGAAAAAAAAAAATTTACTGGAAAAAATAATAAATACAGAAATAGTTAATTTTATTTTATATTTGAAATAATCAAGAAAATTCAATGTTTATAAAACAAATATTTTTAAATAAATAATTAAAAACAATTATAAACAAAAACAAATTTCTTTTTTTCAAAAGGTTTATCAATCACTTCATACAATATTTTCAAAAATTGCCTAATATTTTGTTGCATGTCCTTTATTTTTTTTAACTTCGATTAGTCTTTTGGGCATGCTGTTGACCAATTTATGGCATGTTGATAGTGGAATAACGTACCATGATGTTTTCACAGATTCCCACAGATCCCATTTGTTCCGAGGCTTTTGTTTTGCAACCTCATACTTTACAATTTTCCATATATTTTCTATTGGATTTAAATCTGGCGATTGTGTTGCCCGGTCTAATTGTCTTATACCATTATTTTGGAACCATCTCTTTGTGATAGAAGCTGTATGTTTTGGATCGTTATCTTGTTGAAATATCCAGAGCAGCAGCATGTTATGCTAAGCATAAGAAAACATTATTTCTTCAAGTATATTAGTATAAATATCAGCTGTCATAGAGTCTGTTATTAAATAGATAGGACCAATACCAGATGACGAGAAACATCCCCACACCATAATGCTTCCACGACCAAATTTAATGTTTTTTAAAGTGTAATGTGGGTCAAACTCTTCATTTGTGGTCTGCGGACAAAAATCTTACTATCTGATCCAAAGATACTAAATTTAGATTCAACTGTCCACAAAACTGTGCTCCATTTCTTCTTGTTCATGCAGAATATTCATGACAAAACTCTTTTCTGGCTTTTATATGTCGTTTTTACAATAAAGGCACACTTCTAGGTGATCTTGAAAACAAATTAGCTTTAACTAAACGTCCTCTAATTGTTTGTGCTGTTACATTTAACTCTAAGTTTTTATTAATGGTGTTGCTGGAGATAAATGGATCCTTTTTAGCTAAACGAATAATTAATTTATCTTCTCTGTAATTTGTTTTTCTTTTGCGACCTCTAGTTTCCACACATATTTTTGGTTTAAGAGCGTTTTGAACCATTCCAACAGAACACTTATTTAATTTTGAAATCTCTCTGTAAGACTTTCTGCTTTTAAGCCGTTGAATTACTAAGAGCTCAGTTGAGGTGCAATGTGACTTTCTACCCATAATATCTTAAGTTAAAACTGTTGTATGAATTAATTTCACTAATATACAGTTGCGAAAAATAAAATAGCACCACTAAGAGTATTTTCCTTTTTGTTAAGAAAACACCATGCAAAATAAATTTTTTTCATAGCTTTGCTATTTAAAATATTAGCTAATAAGTTTATTTTCTAAAACCAACCATTTAGGGAAAAAAACTGCTTGGTGTTGCTCGATTTTAATCAAAAATGACAATTCTGACCGTAAAATAAAATAGCACCCCACACTCTTTTGTTGTAAAATACTCTGATAAGGGTAAAAATGATTGTGGAAATAGCAAGTGTTGGGTTTTTTTTGTTGCTGTTTTTTTCGTTTTATGTTAGCGCGTATTATTAGGAGACATTTACATTGAAAAATGGGACACGAAAAGCATTGTAGTGCAGAAACACGAGAACTGATCCGAAAGTTGATATCAGCAGGGTAATCTTATAGAGAAGTTTGTTGTTTAGTTGAGTGTTCCAATAAAATGATAAGAAATGCCATAAAATTTTAAGGAAAGCTTAAAACACGTGGTCGAAAAATTTCAACATTGCTGGCCAATCACTTAGTCTGACAGGCTAAAAAGGAACCTTTTAAAACAGCTACTGAGCTGAAAAAGGACTTTAACATCGATGCAACAGTACAAACAGTTCGGATTTGTCTGCCAGTTAATGGATTAAAAGCCTGTAACCCCAAAGAAGTTCCACTTCTAAGTGCCAGACATGTTGTAAAGCATATTGCGTTTGCTAAAAAACACTCAAATTGGCTACTCGAAAAAAGGAATCTTTTATGGACAGACGAAAGTAAGATTGCGCTTTATGATGGAAATCATAAAGGCGTATGTCAGAAGACTGCCGAATGCAGAATGCAATCCAAAATATACCATCAAAACTATTAAACATGGAGGTTGTAGCATTAGGATATGGGCATGCTTTTCTTATTACGGAGTAGGGCCCATTCATCACATTACTACTATTCTGGACCATTACGTTTATTTTATTTTTCGCAGCTGTACATACTAATACCACCATATCATATTTTTAAATATTGAAAATACTTACAGATTAAAAGTAAGAGGCAATACTTTTAACTTCAGCAATGTTTTTTACTCTAATTGTAATTAATTAACTGAAATGATATTAATATAATATATTACTAAACTCTAAATAATTAACTGAACATAAATAATAAACTTATTGAACATACTATGTTTCAAAATAAAAAGTAAAATATTATTCAGTAGCATAGGAAGGTCATATCAGTTTGAGGAGGAGTGACTAAAACAGCCAGGGTTGGAGATTTGAAGGGGAAGGGGAGGGTAAGTGACTCTCCTCTTAAATAAATATGGGGGAAGAGGCTATTACCCCCACCAAATCCTCTTCCTACGAGCTATTAATAATAACCGGAGGTATTAATAATAACACATATTTGAAAAGTAATAACAGTTGAAAATTAAAGAAAACAAAAAAATTAATCATTACTGTATTTATTATTTTTTCCAGTAAATTTCCAGCTACTTTAAAAAAAATTGTTAGTAACATAAGAAAAATGGAAAAAAATTTATACATTTAAAAAAAATATAACTTTTAACAAAAAGGTTTATAAAAACATAAAAATTAATAGGCCGGGTGAATAAAAACGAGCAATTGCTTTTACTCAGTAATTGGTCAGCTTTACATGAATAAAAGCTAAATCAATTTTCCCTAAGTTTTTATTTATGTAAAGCCGAACATTCACTAAGTAAATTGTTTAACTTTACGTGAATAAAAATTTGAGCAAATCTGCTAATGTTTTTATTCACGTAAAGCTGACCAATTATTGAGTAAAAGCAATTGCTCATTTTTATTCACCCGGCTTAATATCAGTTAACATCAATTACTGTGAATAAAACACATTTTTATAAATGTTTGTATTTATTATTTTTTCCACCACTTCATAGCATTGAAAATAATGCTAAATGTTTGTAAATTAAATAGTCACTTAAACATTCATTTGAATAATTTCCTGATATTAAAAATATATATTTGACATTTTTTAAAACTAAGAATTTGAAATATAAAAAAGCAGTAGGCAACTAGTTGTACGAAAATGCGTTCAAAAAATAAAATTTGGCACCTATTAAGGCCATTTTTTGTTTAAATTAATTTTTTTTAAACTTGCTCAATTTACCCGACTAGACAAGGTAGCACATAAGTTAGATTATATAAAGAATGGTAAGACAGAAAAAACACAGCTAATTTATTAAAAGTCCAATAAATGGTTAAAAAATCAACATTTAAGTGATTCTAAATAAAAAATATATTAGCATCCGAGAGAAAAATAGCATATATCTTTTTATAAACAATGCACTGCAAACAATTTATTATTATTTTTATTGCTATTATTATTATTATTATTATTATTATTATTATAGAAAATTTAAGACTATCTGGGAACTTACTTTATAATTCCACTAGTTTAATAAAATAAAGCTAACAGTGAGAAACATCTTTAACATGATTATAAAAGCATTCAACAAACAATAATTACAAATTTTAACATGACTATAACTTTTCAATGCAGAAATATAAACACAAAAAAAGATTCTTGTATTACTAGGATAAAAAATGACCAAATATTCCATAATCAATCAAAAAACATCTGAGATGCAGAAATCTTAACATTCAAAACTAATTTTAGAAATTTCTGTTGGAAATTTTAATCAAAATAAATAAACAAAGATATTCTTGAACTCAATTCTGCTAAAATCCAACACCATAAAAATAACACCTGCCCTGATGAAACACAAAGAACGCCAACACCATAAAAATAACACCTGCCCTGATGAAACACAAAGAACGCCAACACCATAAAGATTTTAACTTAACTTAAATTTTTATTTAAATCAATATTTAATGAATTTACAAGATTATAAGGAGCAATTGAAGAAATACATTTTCAATAAAATTTGTTGATGTCCCTAACTTATTTAGCTCTTTTTTTGTTTTGTTTTAATAACTGTTTATTGTGCAAGGTTCCTTTGCCTTAGGTTTGTAATAGAGCTACACAATTGCCATTTTACTCAGTGTATTCAACAACTTTTTCTGTCATTTGGTGAAGATAAAATGTAATGCTTTCTTTCAACTTGTTTGATTTTCAGGCCAGCATAAGCTCCAGAAGTGGATGTAAACAAATTTGGATACAGATTTAATTTAATAACAGACTTCATCATGCATTAAAATATAATACAACACAAAGTTATTTAACCAATAAATCTATATTGTGCATTTGGAATTACAATTTATTACAATTAACAAGTTGAAAGAAAACATTACATTTTATCTTCATCAAATAACAAAAGAGTTATTGAATGTGCTGAACAAAATGGTGATTGTGTGACTCTGGTACAAACTTTAGACTAAAAATATAAGATATATTGCTATCTCAAATATAAGATAGCAATTTATTCTCAATTAAATATTACGATTTCATAATTATACATTGTATTTCTCAATTACATATTACAATTTCTAAATTACATGTTGCATTTCTCATTAACACATTACAATTTTTTAATTATATGTGTTTCTTAATTGCACATTATAATTTCTGAATTACATATGTGTTTTTCAATTACAAATTACAATTTTTTAATTACAACTTTCACATTCTCAATTATTAATTTTTGAAAAATCATAAAATTCACTATTCAAACTAGAAAAACCAGATTACAGAACCAACTACACAACTTATACAAAATTTAATTACCTAGAGACTCAAAATGACCTTATTATTAATTCCTTATGGTCATATTTAAGTGTTTTAATCTGTCTATTGACAACTTGTTAATTGTCTAATTGTTAAAATGTCTTAACTGAAAAACATCAATGATGTTTATTAAATTAAAATTGTGTAAAAAAAACCCCAACTAACATGAAGGAGATTTTTTTCTTTAAACAAACTCCACACAATGCTAGTTGCTTGCTATATAAATGGAAGACAGAAATTACAAATACTTAGGTCATTTTCAATAAGAAAGAAAATAATTATTTACATATCACCTGTAATTAATTATAAACATTTTAACTACTTGTTGAATTTTTTTTATTGTATATTTAAAAAATTTTTCAATTTTTATAACAGATTTAGAAGAGAAATGTAAAAGTGGAAAAAAATTGAATATCGAGCATAAATTAAAATCTGTGCTCTACTCAGAGTTGCCAGCACAACAAGACATAACTAATGAGTTGGTAGTTCATGGTGACCAAGAACCAAAATATAGTAGTTTCCGATTGGGCTGCTCTATCTCAAAATGGTAAAAAGAGACTTGAAGATGATCCCCGCTTTAGACACCCTAAAACAATCTATACGACTGAGAATATTAAATTAGTACATGGCATTATTGAAGAAAACCTTCATGCAACACATGGTTAAAGCCTTGATATTGATTAACCATTTTACAATCAATGAAATCATTGATTGTAAAATGGTTAATCAATATCAAGGCTTGTCAATGAAATCATGCAATGCTCTTAAAAAAGTAAAACCGCTTACTATTAAAATTGCAAGAATTGTATTAAGGCATGTAATGAAAACTTATTGATATTCAGAAACAACCCATTATAACTATGTTATGTTATTACAAGGAATGTGTTGTAGTTTTATTTGAGACAAGTTGGGTGCAAGTTGGCTAAAGCTAGTTGGGTTGATAAAAGTGAAGGTCCAAGAACTATAGTAACATGCAACAGATTTGAGCAGAAAAAGATCTATGTTTTCTTCAAAACAACAGGTGGTGCTCATTTGGGTTACGTTGAAAAAGAGACACCATTATTATTCAATATCATGTAAGAAATAAAGAAATCTTTATGACTATACTGACACAAAAAACAAACAAACAAACAAACAAAAAAAAACAACAAAAAAAAAAGCTACTTCAAAGAAGAGCTTAAAAAAAAGTGTTCTTCTAAGAAGAGCTTAAAAAAAATGTGTGACAAATGGTTTCAAAGAATGAAACTTTGTAAAGATAATGATAGACATTAGTTCAAACAATTAAAAGACATAACTTCAAACAATTAAAACTAACTTAACATATTTAATTAACATTTGTTTATCAAGCAGAATATATTAAATGCCTTAACAATTAAAAAAAGTACCAATACCTCTATATATTGCGTCACAGACTCACTATTTTATATTTAAGTTATGAAACATTTTGTTTTTATTTAATATACCTTTTGTTCATCAGAGCTCCATGGTATTTCCTCTACAGCAGGAGAAAGTAAACCTAAAAGTTTTGAACAAATTAAGTAAAAACTTTAAGAAAGCAAACTAATATATTAGATTTTGAAACTACGTTTAAAAACATTAGACAGCATTAACCAAAAAATTAAAAATAGCTAAAAGTTCACTGCAAACAAACAAGTAGGAACACTTAAAAAATATTTCTGAAAAACTTAAACAACTGAAATAAATGCAATATATAATAAATAAATGTTTTTTTATTTTCAAATAACTTACTTTCACTTTTTGATGGTTCAGCAGTTATTGATGATGCCAATTTGGCATTAGTAGATTTCTCTAGATTTTGAAATGCAAGTTTATTTACTTCATCTTTATGCGAAGGATCTATGAAGGTATCAAACAATTATTAACTTATTAATAAATCACTGAATCTTAAATAATGATTTGTCTTTTTCAAATCATTTTTTAAGATTTAGGGATTAGATAATAGATCTAATTTGTTTAGATAAAAAAGTTTAAAAAATATATAATTAGATTTAAAAAGAGCAAGATTAGAACTCATTATTATATAAATATAAATTTAATCTTAATATAAATGTTAGCAACACAAAAAAATTAACATAATAAATTTGAAAAATGAAGCATGTCATCAAATTACCTAATTTACGCAAATTTTTAACTTTGTGGATAACTTGCTTTGATGTTTTCGGCTTAGTTGAACCAGAGTGTTCATTAATATATTCTGCAATAACCTCCCACCTTGAACTTGTACCAACTGGAAAAAGTGTGGTTGCCTTTACTAAAAGTTGCTTTTCAATTTCACTCCACATGTGGTCCGAAAAATTATCAGCAGAAGCAACTTTATTTGATGTAGCCATGGCAACTTCTACAAACCAGAAAAAAAAAAGAACGCTAACTTACTTCTACATTTTTATTTTAAAATTTAGTTGATTACACCAGTTTTATTATAATGCTATTAGTAAAATTTTCTGTGACTTTTGATGAGTGACCGTTTTAGTTAAAGGCAAAAACATAATATAAATGAAATTTTATATATATATATATATATATATATATATATATATATATATATATATATTAATAACATAAATAAATTATAAATAATAATATAACAAAAAATAGTTTAAAAATAATATTTTTTGTTTTTTACATTTTTTTCTTTTGGCAACAATAAGAAATGCACTATAACTTACAGACCTTCTTTCCTGCGTTTCTCTTCTTTTTCATTTTGTATTTTTTCTAAAACCTCTGTTGACTTAAAAAAAGTTACAAATTATTTTAGTACAAAATATAAAATAAAAATAAACAAGAAATTAAGTATTAGTCATACTCTTTTAAAATAAACATCTTTTAAGTGTGCTTTGTCTCCTTTTTCAACTAGCTCACGAAGTTCCTGCAAGCTGTTGCATAAAACAGTATAATTATTAGAATAGGTTATTATTATAGAATATTAAATGAACCTTAATTTTAAATTCAAGAAGTTTGCATTATTTAAAATTAAAACCAATATTTTTACAAAATAGAAATAAACAAAAGAAAATATAGAAGGTTTTAAATGTAAAACTTAATTTTAAAGATTATTTATTACTCTGGTAAGGATAAATTTTCCATTGCAACTTCTAGTCTTTCCATTCCTTTGACTTCATCTTCATCAATATTGAAGTAATTTTCATTCTAGAAAATAAAAAAAAAATTTCAAGTCTAAATAAATATTTTTTATGCTTTAAAAATAGTGAATATGTTCAATTTATTTAAATCATTTTAATTTATAAAAGTATAAGACCAGATCCATAGTTCATCCAGGTCATATTATAAAAATCTGAAAAATTGTTTAGGTAAAATATCTGGAAAAAACCCAGAATATATTTTCCTCTATTTTCCACTTAATTTTGCTTTTAGCTGAGTTGTTTCAATTTTTTTCTTAATATTAGTATGGGTAATAAGTAAAAAAGCTTAAAAACAAACATTACAAAAATATATACCTAAAAATGTATGTATGGAAAACATTTTGAATATCTGGAAAAACTAAAAGTTGAGTAAAATATCCGGGATTCCAGAAATATCTGGAAAAAGAAAATCCCTACAGATCACGATAATCAGCATAGTCACCTGATAGTCGATTAAAAAAGTTTTTATTCACTCATGCTTTTTATCTATATCTTTTTATATATTTATTATTTAGAAAACTGAATTAAAATAAACTCCACACTTGAATAATAACACTCTTATTGAATCCTCTACTTGATTTTAAAAAAGGGTTTTAACAATGGCACTTAATAATGGTACCCCATACTTGCTGATAGCAAAAGTATTTGTTCAACTGACTATAGAGTTAATAATACTTACCAATAGATGAATTAAAAACGATTTTTTAAGATCATTGACAAAACAGAGGAGTACTATTATAAAATTTCAGACATCCACAAAACAACAACAACGACAACAACAACAAAAAAACACAATTGAGTAACCAATGTTTACTAATAGAAAACAATTGTGTTTGTTTTAATACATAACTAAGTTTTATTTTTATTTTTTCAATAATTTTTTTTAACAAAGTAAAGAGTTAACAATAACCAATAATAACAGTAACCAATGGTAACTTAACAATAGACAAATTAAAGAACCTTCTAATTTTGACATCAAAAAAACTTTTTCACCCCAGACATTTTGATATCTAATAAATTTTGTTACTCAAAATTAGTTAATATTAGTTTAGAGTTTGATCCACAACCCTTCTTGCCAAGGCTCATGTTAGTAGTCTAAAAATGAGTGTTAAGGAAAGAAACAATTTTTTTAAATAAACGACCAGCCTCCTTGACTGCAGAGGCAATCATAAATTTTAAAGTGCCTCCACAAATGTGATGTTTTATCCTATTTGCCCACTCTCTCAGATTTTCCTGATTTTTAATAAACTGAATGATGAATCTTTGAAATTAAACTCTTTAAAAATTAAAGTCTTTAAAATTCAACAATGAATCTTCAAATTAAAAAAAAAAAACGAATTTTTGAAACTGAATGATGAAATTTTAAACTTAAATGAATCTTTAAAAAGGTCCAGTTACATCCAGTATACATAAAATACAACACAACTTTATACAATATTATAGGATGGGGCACCATGATACACTTTTTTTTTTATATTGTTTTTATTTAATATTTAAATAAGTGTTTTATGCAACTTGCCTATGAAACTTACACTAACAAATTAAAACCATTATTTAACAAAGTATAACATCATAAAGATTTAGGATATTATAAATGAAAATTTATAATATCCTACTTGGATCATGGTACCTTACCATGGAGTACATTAGCGCAACCTACAAGAAATAGAAGTACTTATAGAATGTAGTTAACAAAGTAACTGTACTTACCATTAAGTTACCTCATACTTGAAAATAGAAAATAGTTGCATTATTTTTGTTATCTTTTATTATTTTATTGTTTTTTGAATAATAATACAACCTTATTCATATTACATTACCTTTATTGCTTGCTTGATAGTTTTTCGATCTTTAGCTGCAGATTTTCTCAATTTTTCTTTTTCTTTTTTCTCTTTCAGCACCTGTCAATTTTATAAATATGTATAACATTTCAGATATTCAAATTTTCAATTCAAAGTAAAACATTTTGCATTTTTGTTGATAAATTGAAATTTTTGATCGTTGATTGTTGAAAATGAAAACAATTAAGTAAAAATCAAAACATAATAATAGCTACTTTTTCTTTAGCTTCTAATTCTGCTTTATCTTTTGATTTCTTTTCTTCTTCCAAAGCTAATTTTCGTTGCTAAATATATATTTAAAAGAAAGTAACAACCCATTTTTTATAAGATAATCAAAAAATATAAATATTTTTGCAACATTCGAAATTAAGAATCCTTCAATAAATTTTTTTTAAAGCTTAATATAATGTTCAGCAAAAGAAAATTAAGTAACAACAGTAAAGTAATTTTGCAGACTTTCTTTTTTTGCCTTGAGTCCGGAGTTTCGGGAGTATGGAGTCCAGAGTCTCATGAGATATTGGGATTCCTTAAAGTTTTTAAAATGCTTCAAGAACATTCTTGTCACAGCGCCATGGAAGAATATTTAATCAGAAACTTTACATCTTCTTATCTACTTATTTGGCCAGGTTTTGGCATTGGTTTCGGATTTGCAATTATGCAGATAATAGCCGGGTTAAAAAAGCAAAATTTAGGTGGGTTTCCTTGTGTCACATTTTGTTTTAAAACTAAGTTCTACAAAAGAAAATGTTTATTAGCAAATGGAAAATTCTAATTAAAAAATATCTGCACTTTGTTAATTTCATTACTTTTGAAAAAAGAACTAAACAGATGTAAGTTATTTTTTTAATTTGTGATATTCAAGATTTAAACTACTTTTAACTACTCAATATTTCTAACTATTCAACATTGCTATTTATTCAACATTTCTAACTACTCAACATTTCTAACTACTCAACATTTCTAACTATTCAACATTTTTAATTATTCAACATTTTCTGAAGAAACTATCAGGCTAGATAAGGGATACATCCAAACCAGCTTACAGAAAACCCGTAAAAAGTTTATAAAAATACCTCACCAAACAAACAAAAAAAATGCTTGCACAGCAATTTTTTTAAATAAGTGTCTGTAACATATAAGAATACATGTAAGTTGACATTTATTATTCTAAAAACAATTTATATAGATATTTGATCAGGAAACTATTCAAAAGCTTTGCAGAAAAGTTTTATCTTATTTTGGTTTAAAAGTTTTTTTTATTAATAAATTATATTATAATAATTAACTTATTATGTATTTAATTTAATAAAAAAATAATTAATAAAAATTAAAAGTTCATTTTGTCTTAATTTATCTTATTTTGGTCTAAAAGTTTTATTCTATCTTATTTTATCTTATTTTGGATTTTAAATGAATAGAGATAATATAAAAATTCAAATTAGCAATCTTGCTAAAAAGTAATTTAAAATTTATTTTAATTTAATCTTATAGTGATAAAATCATTAAAAAAATAAACACTAAATGAGGAGCAAAAACGTGACAAACATTTGCAAAATGCGTTAAGTCCGAGTAAACTGATTTTAAGTAAACAACCAAAAACTAACTTTACTTTTAGTTGCACATCAACAGAAATTGATATTTTCTTTGTCCATTTTTGGGACCAAAAATTTTTAAATTGGTCCAATATTAAAATAGATGATAGATTTATGTAGATAAAACGTGGAAATAGAACTAACTCAAAATTTTTATTTTTGTGATTTAGGGCGTTTTGCAGATGGGCTCCTCAAATATTGTCCATTAAATCAAATTTTAATTTGCTTAGGTGAATATAAGATGGTGTGCAACATTGGCATCAACCTCATTGAAAAAACAATGACAATGTCCACAATGACGATGTCCGTTTTCAATTAAAAGTCAATGACTTTGACAAAGATGGTCATTCTACAGTGGACAATGCAGCAACATTGGCAAACTTTTACATAAAATTCATAGTAGAAAATAATACCCTATCACTTTTCTGGGATTTTCTCATCCGTAAAAACTCCAGTTAACAAAATCAAATTACTTAAATTAGAATCAGACTCCAAGGAGTCCATCATTTTTGACCTTGGAGTCCCAAAAAATCGATGGAACTACGCATCCTTGGTTCTGTTGTTTGTCTAACGTCTTGAGATAAAGTTTCAAAAAAAAAAAAAATTATCTCTATTTTATTTTTAAACTTAACATGCTGTTTGATATGTTTATTAATTATCAAAAATGTTAACAAAATCGTCTGAAATTATTTAAATTTAATCTCAATATGTTAATAACCAGTATGGTAATATGTTAATAATCAATATGGTATGCGGTATAGTGGTAGAGTCATTGCTTCAAAAAGTTTCAAGTTTGATCTTCACAAAATTAATCGTACCACTCTTATTTCTTGCCCAGTGGCTTCATCAAGGCTTGTGTTTCAGAGTTAAATAATGCTTTTTAAGAAAAGATTACACTTGAAAATAAAAATCACCTCTCAACCTTGCATTTTTTGTCTCTACTTAATAAAAAAAATTTAATTTTTGGACAAGCTATAAAAATTGAATCAGACATTTTAAAAAGGACACAGATTCATTAATTAAAATTTGTAATTTTAAATTTAAATATTTTTTTCATAATAAATAAAACTCACTGAAAAAATGTATTTTATTTATCTACTCTATAGATATTATCTATACTCTATGTTTAGTTCATATTTTGCACCATAGACGTGTTTCATAAAAACATATTTGTTGATCCTGAAAATTTTCAATTAATGAAACTATACCTTCTTCAGAATGATTTAATTCCTATACATAAAGATATATATATATATATATATATATATATATATATATATATATATATATATATATATATATATATATATATATATATATATATATATATATATATATATACACAGTTCTATAAATTGTTGGCTTTGAGAGAACAGAAGGTAAAAAGTGGGAGCTCTCGATTGCTCACCACTTAAATAATATTTAGTTGCAAAAAGCTGGCCAGATTTTTTAGTCGTTTTGACAACATTTCAAAAAGCAAAAAAAAAAAAAAAAATGCGCTAAAGATTAATTAGACTGATGAGAGACAATTACAAAAAAAAATTTTTTTAGCAAAGTTAAATATCTTTTAACGCGAAAAAACTTAAAGCAAAATAAATTACATTTAGAACAAGTATTTTCAAAAAATCGCTCTTTTATAATTTTAAATAAAATAAAATTAAGCAACATTTTTTTATAAAAAGTAACATCTTACGATTGTTTAAAAGGGAAACAGATGTTCTTTATTTAACAAAGAGTGTAATATAATTTTTATTTATATGCTTGTGTCTTATTTCCAGTGCTCGATTAAGGAGGGTTGGGTTTAGAGGGGATTATAGCCCTAGACCCCGCATTGTTAGGGCCCAAAAAAAGTCAAGAAGACCTTTTTGTTGAGTCATTTTTACGCTGTGGTGCATACAAAGGCATTCAAAATAAAAATAGCCCCTGGCCCCAAAAAGTCTAACAAGATTCTAATAAAACTAGTGCGAGTTTTAGATTTATCTAAGTTAAATTATTTTATAAATAAAAAAGTTATTATTTTAATACCTATTTTATGCTTGGTATAGTTTGAAAAGTTTAACATATTTGAAAAAATTCTTCTTAGTAAGATAAACAAATGAAATAATTAAATCATTGAATTCCTATAGAAGTTAAATAAACTAGATAGAATCCAACTGAAAAGGTTAAAAATACTTTATGATGAGGAAGCGAAACTGCTTCACAATATTGCTGATGATGTTTAGTGAGTGGGTTTTGTAATTTTAATTAGTATTTTGAGCAGAAAAAAGTATAACGACTTTGTAAGAATGGCAACTGAAGCGCAAATAATTAGAGTTAGTAAACCATTATCTAGAAACTCTACTTTATATCTAATAATTTATATATATATATATATTTGACAACAAAATACGTCACTTTTAATTACTTTTGACTTTCATTCAACATTTCTGTGTTGTCATTAAGTTAAAACCATTAATTTAATCACTTTTTTAAAAAACTACTAAAACGCAAATTTAATAAACCAGAATGTTTTTAAAAATATAAACAATGTTTTTTATTTATATTTTTTAAATAAAATAATTTTATTTTTATTTATTTTTACTGTAATTCATGTGCGAGTATTGCTACATCGACTATCTTATAGCCTGACTTGCAACAGAGTGCTGCTACATCGACTGACAAATAGCCAGACCCGCATCGAAGTGCTGCAACATAGACTGACAAATAGCCTGACTTGCAAAGGAGTGCTGCTACATCAACTGAGGGTTTGGTTTGGGCAGGCATATATACATATATATATATATATATATATATATATATATATATATATATATATATACATATATATATATATATATATATATATATATATATATATATATATATATATATATATATATATATATATTTATATATAATTTAAATGAAAAAAATACAACTTTTTATGGAACTATTAGTTTCATGCCATTCGGCAATCATTCAGCCATATTATTCAAAATTTATAAAATAAAAAACCGTTAAAAAATAAAATTTTTTAGCGTTGCAACAGTATCTGACATCAAGTTTACGCCAGACGATATCATGGGTTCCTAATCTCTGGTATCGAATTGTGAAAGCAGAAATTTTTCTCTATGCCTGCAAAAAGAAACCAACTCACTTTTTTTATTAAGTAATGATCCTTGATCATAAGTCATAATTAAATATTTTTCATGTAAACAAAGATTACATCTTTTAGTTGATGAATTATATAATTGACACTTTTTAATAATGTTCCACTTGATTAACGCCATAATGCCTGCATTTTTATGTTTCCATATTTCTTTAGAAAGTTCTGTATCGTTTTCGTATCTAGTAGCCTTAAATGATTTTAAATGGTTTGCAAACCTAAGCTTGAATGAGCCTTCACTGATACCAATATATGAATTTTCGGAATTACTAGGGTTAGCTAAAGATATAGTGGCTTTATACACGACATTTTTAGATAAGCATTGATTATTTAAAGGGCATGAAGGTTTATTAATACAGTTGCAGTTGGTGACACAAGCAGTGGGTTTGTTGCGTAATATTTTTTGGTTGTGTGAATTAATTATTGATCCAACATTCGGCATGCAGCTGTAACTAATTTTGATTGTATTTCTGTTAAATATCTTGTGGAACTTATGATGAAGAGGAAAATCCAAGTTGATTTACTTAAGAAAAAGGTGTTTTATTTTGGTGACAATGTTTTTGCTGAACGGAGGATTAAACCATATGATGTTTCTCTTTCGCTTATTAGTATTATTTGGGCCTACATATGGATGGTATTGTATGTTGTTTCTAAACCCAGACTTTTCTAATGCATCTTTATAAATAGGGGCAGTATTATTAAAAATTGCTTCGCTGGAAGAATTGGTTGATAACCTACGCTCAATTGAAGTTAGTAACTGTTTTCAAATATTAGGGGGATGGTTGGAACTAGCGTGGATGTAATTTAACATACTATCAGGTTTGCGATATGGTTGGAAACTACTGCTGTTAAGGTTCAATGTTACATCTAGGTAATTAACAATTTTCATATTAGATTGGATAGAAATACTAAGGCTGTTTTGCTTAAATATTTGCGTGAAATGTTTCTTAATTTTCTCCATTTTAGGACCGCTTGCATTTTTGAACACAGCTAAGCCATCATCTCTATACAACCTTGAATCATGCTTGCTATAAAATTGGGAGATTTGGAAAAGAAGGAAAATTACAACTAGTTCACAAACCTCTGCACCATCAAATGCACCCATGGTTACATCAAACAAACTACTCGATTTCTTTATCCAAACTTGGTCGTTGGTAAATAATAATGATTTTCGCGCGTGAAGAATTAAAGATTTATGGTCAGTAGTGATGGTAACATAATGCTCTGCAAAGCGAATGGAGTTGATAAGGAGTTTTTCGTTAATTGAAGGATAAAAGTCAACAATGTCAAAAATAAGGAATTTATAAATGTGTTTATCTTTAATATTTTTGAACCAATTAATTACGTCTTGTGTGTTATTCCACTGATTTAGTTGCAAAATATTTCTTAGATTGGTGTTAATATCAAATAATTATTTGATATTATATATATTATTTGATATTTTATATATTATAATATATGCTTACTAACTCTTCGGATTTCGTTCTTAGCGGGGTTTATAAGGCAAGCCGTAGAGTTATTTAAAAAGTTTGATTTAAAGAAGTCTTTCAATGTAATAAAGCAATCAGAAGATCCATTTATGTTGATTTTGTTATATATATTATGATTCTTAAAAATAACCTTTCCTTCTTTATTAATACAGTCTTTTTTATAATTGGAAGTAGTAGCATTCATTAACAACTTATTATATTTTTCTTTTAATAGTTTGTATAAATTTGAGGTTTTATCAGCATAAGTGTAAGTATGCATTGATTTTCGAATAGAAGAAATGTCTTTTTTAAATTTATTTTGAAAGCTGCATTGGACCATTCTAAACTGTATATTTTTAATTAATTTGAACAAATCGCTTCCAAACCCAGTCATATCTTTAATTTGTTGTGGACAATGTGGAGTAATGGTATCTTACGTCAGATACCGTTGCAACGCTAAAAAATTGTACTTTTTAACGGTTTTTTATTTTGTAAATTTTGAATAATATGACTGAATGATTGCCGAATGGCATGAAACTAATAGTTCCATAAAAAGTTGTATTTTTTTCATTTAAATTATATAAGTATAATTTGATCTATTTTACAAAGAAATATTGATCACTCTTAAGCAGACAAAAGCTGTATTTTTAACAAAATACTATACCTATCAACAATTATATATATATATATATATATATATATATATATATATATATATATATATATATATATATATATATATATACATACATATATATATATATATATATATATATATATATATATATATACATACATATATATATATATATATATATACATACATATATATATATATATATATACATACATATATATATATATATATACATACATAATTATAAAAATAAAAATAAATATATAATATTCATATATATAATAAACTTAAAGATATATATAATATTCCTATATATAAAAATGACCTCCTTGGGAAAATAAAAATAAAAAAAAGTTTAAAAATATTTTCTGGCTACTTTAAAATTATTTGTACTTAATAACCAAGCCAAAAGGAAAAGAAAACCATAAGCGCTTGAATTTGATAGTGGTCAGTTTTTTTTATGTGCATATAGATTAAAAAATAAATAAATTGTGATTTAAAAAAATTTGCTTAATGCTTACCATTTCTTTTTCTTGTTCAATTTTCTCTTTAGCTTTTTTTTCTTCCAACTTTTTTAACTTTTGCTCTTGTTTGTACTTTTTTAAACGAGGATCATTTTGAAACAGTACATCTAAAAGTTAATCAAGAATCATTTTGGAAAATACATCTTAAATCATTTCAAAGAGTACATAATGTAATGATATAATATAACAAATTGTAAAGTGTAATTATATTTTATGATTGTTAATGATCAATGTAAAGTGTAACTATATTTTATGATTGTTAACGATCGACTTGCGTTAATTGTAAATAATTGTATATAATATAAAGTCATAGTTGTAAACACCAAGAGAATATGATTGTATATAAATTATGTTGAATTGCATTAGAAAATATGAGGCATTTAATGCTTAACTTATTAAGTCGATTTTGATGTGAAACTACAAGCTATTTCGGCTAAAATGTTGACTAAAATTGATTTAAAGTTAATTAAGGAGTTTAGTGAAAACGATCAACAATCAGTTGCAGAATGGCTGGAAAAAGTGGAATTAGTATGCAAACTAATTGGTGTAACCGATCTAGCGAGCGTTGTTATCTTCCGCCTCACAAATTGTGCATTTGTAGTATATCAACAGTTAGCAGAAAGTGATAAAGAATATTTTGATCGGATAAAAGCTTTCACGGTTGATGCATTTACAGCTTAGGAACAATTTGTTACAAGAGAATTAAAGCATTGAGACGCAGTTGATGTTTGTTTGGCGGAACTGCGGAGATTATCTACGCTGATTGGTGGGCTACCAGACAGAGCTATTGCATGTGCCTTAGTTTCTGGGCTTCCTGAGGAAGTTTGACGGATGCTGAGATCAAGTTCTCGTATGGATGATCTTACACTTGCGCAAGAGCACTCATAATTGAAGAACGGAACGATGGAGCAAATGAAAATTTTGCTGCTGTTGCAACAAAAAGACTTGCTGAGTTAAGGTTGCTTGAAGATCAAACACAACCAGTTTGTTATGAATGTAAACTCCCGAATCATTTTGCAAGAGATTGTCATCAACGAAGACATAGCAATCGAAGCAAGTTGGGTCAGAGACAGGAGACAAGTGTCGTTTTGTGTTACGCGTGTCAAGAGAAAGGACACATATCAAAAATGTGTCCAAAAAACATGCTAAGGGAGAAGATGTTTGCACCAGCTCTCTTCCCAAACGATCAATAATGGCGTTACCTACTATACGCTTGGACATTAACAGCATTCTTCGTGATGTGTTGATTGACTCTGGATGTACCTGCTGTATTATTTATAAAAAATGTGCGCAAAAAATTATGAAGAAAGTAGTTAGCATGGTAACTGTAAATGGACAACAACATGGTAACAGTTCGGCTAACGCAAAGGCGTTAGCCGAACTCGAATTGCCATGCCAAATGGGAATGAAGTTTTTGTGGAAGCCCTTGCAGTTGACTTCAAACCACTTGGTTATTGTTTTTTGATGGGTATGGATGGAATAGTGGCTTTTGGTGGAGTATCAATATCTGCAACTCGTGATGTTTGTTTTATGGGAAGAAAAATAATTCTCGACCTGAAACTTTAGTGAACAAGATTACTGAATACACTATCCCTGTTGGCATGAAACACGATTACAAAAAAGAAATTGAAGGATGGATAGAGAAAAAATAGCTGCAAACATACGATTTGAAGAAACACGGTCCAATAAAAGGTTTGGTTCCTCTCATGGCAGTTGTGCAACGAAATAAAGGAAAAGTACGACCAGTATTAGACTTCAGGGAGCTGAACACATTTATTGAAACATTCACTGCGAGCACAGATGCATGTGCTGAAAAACTTCGAGAATGGAGACGGTTTGGAGAAAATGTTTCAATAATTGATTTATCTTCAGCTTACAAGCAACTAAAAATTGATGAGAAACTTTGAGCTTACCAAACTGTTGTGTTCCGTGGAAAAAGATTTTGTTTAACACGTTTGGGATTCAGACTAAACGTTGCGCCAGTCATAATGAAAGCGGTGTTGAACAAAGTGCTATCGCAAGACAAAACAATCTGGAAAAAAACGCCATCATACATTGATGATATTTTTGTAAATGAAGACATAATACCTGTTCATCGCGTACTTGATCATTTGGAAACATATGGGCTTTATTGCAAGCTGGTGGCCCGCGTATCTGATGGAGCAAGAGTTCTTGGTTTACAAGTCGGATGGAAAATAAAAATATGTATTGGAGAAGAGATAATGATTTTGGTGAAATTAAGAAAAGACGATACAACACATATAAACATGTCTGAACTTGATGCAGTAATTAAAGGACTAAATATGGGCCTTAATTGGAAAATGGAAATTCAACACATCTGCACTGATTCAAAAGCGGTGTTCCATTGAGTTACCGATGCACTCATGGGAAAATCTAGATTGAGAACAAAAGCTTCAAACAAAATGCTGATAAGAAGAAGACTTCATAACGTTGCGAATATAGTGGAAGAATACTAACTCAAAGTAGATATTAAACTTGTTGCTTTGGAGTTTAACTCGGCCAATGCCCTTACTTGAGTTCCCAATAGTTGGTTAAAATTGGATGATAAACCCTATGAAATAGGAGCAAGTGGCATTAGTAGTATTTGGCTATTCTTCCAAAGACATCAAGCAGGTTCATAGATCTACACAACATTATGGCATGAAGAAAACATTGTACTTGGCTCGTAAAATCACTAAGCAAGGAAGACATAAAACAAGTCGTTGAGAAATGCATAGCCTGTCAATCAATCGATCCAAGTCCAATAAAATGGCCAAAAGGAGAAATAGAAGTAAAGAGAACATTGCAACGACTTGGCAATTCAAACTTGGCGATAATATCTCTCAATATAAGATTGGAATAATTACAGGGATAATCTCAGAGCAAATGGTAGAAGTTGACAAAATGTGTCGACATGTACGAGACCTAAGACAAGTAAGAGTTGACAACAAATTTGAATAAAGATCTTGGACAAGGAAGAGGTGATAATGATTTAAGTGAGGATTCAGAAGATGAATTATATGCTGTGCTGCCTGGAGAAAAAACAAGCAAGACGTCAGTGTTACATAGAAGCACACGAGAAAGGAGGGCGCCTGAACGATTTAATCATTGAGATGAGATGGTCATTGTGACCAAGGGGAAGTGTAAAGTGTAATTATATTTTATGATTGTTAACGATCGATTTGCATTAATTGTAAATGGTTGTATATAATATAAACTCATAGTTGCAAATACCAAGAGAATATGATTGTATATAAATTATTTTGAATTGCATTAGAAAATATGAGGCATTTAACGCTAAACTTATAAAGTGGATTTTGATGTGAAACTACACAAATTTTGAAGAGTAGAATAATATAATGATATAATAATATAACAAATTAAATATAACAAAATTTAAATTAATAAAATAAGAAAACTTGCCTTGTTGCATATAAGCTTTGTCAAAAAATATTTATATTAAAATTATTCTATATTACATATTTAGTAACATTTGTAATTTTTAGTAATGTCAACTTTTTGTTTTTTAAAAGCAAAAGAATCTTAGAAACTTCTACAAAAAAAATTTTGAAAATCTAAATATAGTATGTTGAAACTATTATAAAATATTTTTTTCATTTATTGAATTTATCTAAACAGAGAATGGTATCAAAGAATGAAGTGTAAGAAGTTTACCCAAATGCCCATTATGTTCACTACTATGCACACCAATTAAATTTAGTTTAAAAAAAAGTTTGTCAAATAAGAACATTTTTTTCTACTTGAATTTGGCGTGTTCTTTACATCCTCACCAAAACGAAATGATATACTCTGCAAAATTAGTTTTAAAAAGAAACCAAGATTTTACGAAAGGCGATGGAATATTTGTTCAAAAGTAGTTAAAAGCATAAAAGAAAACATATTAAAGAATGTGGAATGTTTTAATAAAATTAAAATGTTTTAATAAAATTAAAATTTTCAGTTAATATTTTCTGGCCCTACCAAAGTTTACTGTAAAAATTAAAATATTTAAAAAAATTATTGATAACAGCTCTAAAAATAACACAACATACCTACTAACTTTCTTATTCTGGCAATTTCTTCTTTTTTCCTTTTCTGTCTCATTTTTTTATTTTCTGCTTCCATCCATCGACGTTCTTCACGACTATAATTTAGTGGATCAAAAGAAAATATTATTTACTTTTCTTCTTCATCAATTCATTATCATATTCAAAAGAAATAAAAACCAATAATCAAATAGATATCAATTTTATGTAAATAACTAATTTATATATATATATATATATATATATATTGGCACGAAGAAATTTTAAAGAAAGTTTGAGAATTTCTGGAAACGCGCTTTGTCAGCGAGCCAATAAATCTTATTGGTTTAACAGGTTTGTTGATTCAGCGAAAGTGATTCAAGAATGTGCTATAGCGATTTTTCTTTGGATAATTTTATTGTCGTTTTGCTGTAGACAGGATTCTTAAGTTTGTTTTACTTTGTTAAAGTTTTGTAGATTTCTGTAAAGAATCTTAATTAGAATATATATATATATATATATATATATATATATATATATATATATATATATATATATATATATATATATATATATATAAATATATATATATATATACATACAATATTTGATTTATTTTGGTACATTCTTGGAACCATAAAATGGTAGCAGAGGGTAGTTACATTTAATAATAGTTAATGTTTTATCGTTGTTGTTTCGAAATTTATGAAATCGTGAAATCAAAGAAGAACTTTAATAAAGTAAAAACTATGGGTAGAAACAGAAAAAATAAAAAACAATCGTCGGAAGAAGAATCAACAAATAATAAAGATGTAGATATATTTATGGCGTCACTTAAACAAAAGAAAACAATTGCAAAGACTCACTTAACGAAAATAAAATATAAACTGTTGCAGTTATTCGATGATAATATGTTTAGCACATGTAAGTTCAAAGAACATCAAAAGAAGTATAAAAATCAACATCAGGCAGTAATCGAATTGTTAACACAGTTATCTCAACAGTACGAAATTATGGGAAATGTTGATAAAATGTGTAAAGTAGTTGACGAAATCGAAAAAATCGAAATAGAATTCACTCAAGTTATGGATAAAATAAATGGACATTTATTCAGCAGAAAAGACAGTTCTTCAAGCATAACACCAGCTGTTCCATCTAATGTTGAAATATTACAGCGAAAAGAAATACAAAATCAAGACACCATTTTCAAGAAGCAGATCGAGCTTAAACAAAAACAAGAAAAACTTTTGTTAAAAAAGAAAGCACTAGAAGAAAAATACAAAAGGAAATTAGAAGCACTTGAAAAAGAAAATATTGACAAAAGCACAAGCTTAATTGAAACTAATTATATTTATGCAAATCAAGAAGTTATACCAGATATTTCAGACGATGAATTAAATGCAGGTATTGGTGTCTTTAAATCATCAAAGTCAAACTCAAAGTTACTTTTAATTCCAAATTTAAACCCTGAAGAAAAAGTAAATACAAGAAAGCAAGATATTGAACACGATCTATGGGGACAGTTAAAAAGAGTTTGGATTCCTATTTTTACTGGTGATAAGCATAACTATGAAAACTGGAAGTCGACATACCTAGCCTGTGTTGATCAAGCTCCCACGACTGCAGAGTTGTTGTTGCAGTTATGATAATACCTGTCTGGTTCAAAGTTAACTACCATTGATGGATTGGGTCACTGGAGTTGCGCCTATGAAGCTGCAAAAGAAAAATTAGAGCGAAAATATGATGGATACAGAAGAAAGTTAATGCTTTACATGGACGAGTTAGAAAACTTCAAACCAATAAGAAATGACCATCCTTAGGATCTGGATAAATTTGCTGATTTATTAGACGTATCAGTTACTAACCTCAAAGAAGCAGAAAGGGAAGAAGAGCTCGGAAATGGAACATTTTATAAAAAACTTTAAAGAAAATTACCAGAGAAAATGCTTACTCATTAACAACATTGGGTTTTCGAAAATGCAAAAGAAGAAAATGTTGAAACCTTACGACATTTATTATTAAAGAATCAGAGCTTTGGATTGCTGCAGCTGAAACAATTCATGGGTTGCAAAGTACTAGTTCTTATAAACTAAAACATGATCAATCATATTTTGGTGAAACCGGAACAATTGAAATAAGAAAATCGTGGTTGAAATGTCTTATTTGTAAGCAAAATCATGCCTGGTGGAACTGTAATCAATTTAAACAATTTGGATTTATAGATAGATGGAAATAGACAAAAAGTAATAAATTATGTTATCGATGCTTGGGAAACAACCATACTGAAAGTCTGTGTACTAAAACAAGAATATGTGGTATTAATGGATGTAATGAAACACACAACAAATTGCTACATAAGTCGAATCCAATTAACTGAGACAACCGGATCGAAAGAAATAAAAAGTCGCAGTTAAAGAATCTCACAGAGGAGGAGCAACTTAAAGAAACTACAAACATTACAATGTCAACTGAATGGAAACTTAAAAATAATGGTTATGGTGTTTATGTAGCACTTAGAACTGTTCCAGCCTTCCTGAAGAATCGTGGAAAGAAAATTATAGTTAACCCCTTGTTGAATGATGCAAGTACGAAAACCTAAATAACGACGTTGCTAGTGAACTAGGTTTAAATAGTAAACCACAAGAAGTGATAGTAAGCGTCTTAAATAATCGAACTGATACATTTCAGACAACGCCTGTTGAATTAGAACTAGATTGTTTGGATGGTAAAGTGAATATGAAAATTGCAGCATATACAGCAAACAAAGTAACTGGATACTTAAAACCAACGGACTGGAAGAAAAATGCAACAAAGTGGAAACATTTAAAAAATATTGATTTTCCAAGCATGGGTCCAAAACCAGTTATTTAGATTTTAATTGGTATAGACTACGCTGACCTTCACTATTCAGTTAAAGATGTACGAGGTCATACAGGAGAACCTGTTGCTCATCTCACTCCACTAGTATGGACTTGGGTGGGCAGCCCTGTTAAATTAAATTAAAATTATTATACAAGCTTCGTTCATACGTTTTTTACTAATGAAGAACAATACACACAGCAACAGATGATATACTTCGGCAATTTTGGCATATCCAAGAGACTCTGAGTAAGCAAGAGTATTCCATTAGTGTTAATGAGAAAACACGATCAGTATTTGATGGATCAGCAAAACATAACGGATTATCTCTTAATGATAAAATTCTTCAAGGTCCAAAGCTTCAACAAGACTTGTTTCGAGTGTTACTACAATTTCGACAATATCCTGTGGCAGTGATTTGCGATATAGCAGAAATGTATCTATAAATATCTGTTTCACCGGACGATAGAAAGTTTCAAAGATTTTTATGGAGAGATCTAGATCAAAGCAGGGACCCAGACATTTTCGAATTCCAAAGAGAAGAGTTCCGTATCAATTCATTGGCTTTTTTTAGCACAGTTTGTATCACAAGAAAATGCAAAGAAACACATTGAAAAGTATCCTTTAGCGGCAGAAACAATTCTTATATCAGCATACATGGATGATAGTATCGACTCTGTTACTGAAGAAAAAACTGGTATTGAGTTATACAATCAGTTAAATACAGTTTGGAATTTAGCTGGAATGCATGCACGAAAATGGTTATCCAACTCCGAAACATTATTAAAAAAAATCCCAAAAGTGAGAGCAAAGGTGCTCTTACAGTTGATGTGGACCAGTGGGATTAGTTAAGATGAATTGTTGGATCCTAAACAATCTCAACTAGCATCTAAATGGTTAAAGAGTTAAAGGATTTACAAGACATAAAAATACCAAGATGCGTTCAACAACAAAATCTAAGTTTAGTGATACTTTCACTTCACACGTTTACAGATGCTTCCAAAATCGCATATGGAGCTGTAACTTATGCAAAATGTCAATATAAAAATGGCAAAGTTTCTATTAACCTTATTGCAGCCAAATGGAGAGGGGCGCCTTTATCCGCATTAAGCATCCCACTATTAGATCTACTTGGTGGAGTTTTAGGATTGAGATTAAGTTACAGTATCGCAGCAACTTATAAAACTTATATTAAAGAAAAGACATTTTGGACAGACAGCATGAATGTGATATGGTGGATACATAATCAGAGTAAAAAATTTAAACCTTTAGTGGCTAATAGAATCGGAGAAATTCATACCGAAACAAACCTAAGTCAGTGGAGATACGTACCAACTAAGGAAAACCCTGCTGATGACATAACAAGAGGTCTCGCAGTATCAGAACTAAAAGAACAAATTAGATAATGGAAAGGATCAGATTTTCTGCCTGTTAAAAAAAAATGGCCCTTCTATATCATTGTTATCAAAACTTGATAACAATGATGTAGAAGTAAAAAAGTCTAAAGCAAATTCGACCTTGTTAGTGCTTGTAAAAGATAACATCTGGAGACGGCAACCTCAAAGATTTTCAAATTGAATTCGACTTACAAGAGTGCTTGCATTGGTACATCGTTTTATCATTGTATCAAAAGTCACTGTAGTCGCTTTATCACTATACATCATCAAAAGCAAGTAGATTCGCAGGAGAACTAATGCCAGAAGAGATCATTGATGCGGAAAATGAATTAATAAAATTTGCTCAAAAAGAGAATTTCGAAGAAGAGTACAAAGCGCTGTCAGCCAAAAAACTGTTACCAACGACTAGTAAAATACTATGTTTAAAACCAAAAATAGATGAGGATGGTGTATTACGATGTGATTGGCGTTTAAAATATGCAGAATATTTGCCCTACAATGCCAAATTCCCTATTATTCTCCCAAGAGAAAGCTGGATAACGAAACTTATAGTGAAGAAGTATCACGAAGAGGGAAAACACGTATGTGGAACTAATCAGACCTTGGCAATGCTATCTAGTCGGTTTTGGATATTACAAGCAAGAGAAGAAATACGTGAGTGGGAAAATCAATGCCAGCATTGCAAAAGGTGAAAGGCTAAAGCCGGGAACTAGATTATGGCACCATTACCAAAGATCAGATTAAAAATGCCTTTGCATGCATTTTCAAGAACAGCTGTTGATTTTGGTGGTCCATTTATAACAGTGCAAGGAAGAAGTATGAGATTAACTAAACATTATTTGTGCTTGTTTACTTGTCTTGCA